AAAATATTTTGAGCATTATTTTGGGTTTCTTTTGTCTGACTTCTGTCTTTGATCAAAGATTCTAGAGCTTTTTAAATCTCATCATAACTCTCATGCAAACAGGTAACAGCATTTGCACGTACTGACCATCGAGTTCCTGGTAGCTGATTGATTTTTTTTCTACTCCCACCGAAAGACCAAAGTACTTGCCAATGATGAGTTGATGCAGAGAAAAAGTTTTAGAGGCATTGAATAAAATCAAAAATAATATTTGTAAAATAAATCTGTAACTCCAGAGTTTCCAAATAATTTCCATTTTGCTCTGATCCAATGGTTTTATTGTTTCCACAAAATGGCAATCTTCTTGTTTACATAAAACTTCACAACTGTAACTATTCTTTTCAGCACACTCTGCCAATTACAATTGTGCATTGTAGAACTGTTTTAATAAAACAGAGTCAAGCTAACCATTTTCTTTTTGCGGACCGGAGTATGTGAACGTATCTTTGTGATTTACAGAGCCATTTTTTTTTTGTTTTTTTTGTTTTTTGTAAATTTATTTGCCTTCAATAAAAGAAATTTAAATTACAGAATAGCTTTATTACAAATATAATCGGCAGGACTTCCAGAAGATCATACGATCTTATCATGAAGTCCTTTACAATATCAAGTATAATAATAATAACAATAAAATCAAATTAAGCAATAAAAATCAACATAAACTATATATAACTGTGCATTTAAAATATAAATATACTAGATAAAATATATGAAATATGTGAAGCAAAAAAAACTAAAAACAAGAAAAAATATTTTATGCTGAAAAGATAACTTCTTTTGATTTTCGTTTGAAAGAAGTTAAAATCCATTTCAATGACAAATCAAAATTTTGCAAAACTATTTTATTCCATAAATAAGGACCGCGATAAGAAATAATTAGTTGTTCAAATTTAGTTTGGCAGAAAGGTTGTTGTAGATTTTTTCCATTGCGAAGATTGTATTTGTTTATTGATTTTACATTATAAAGGTTTATAAATACATCAGGAGATAAATGATTTTTACATTTAAAAATTTAACATAAAATATTATAAACATTTAGTTCGTATACATTTAAGGCTTTCATTTCTCTCAGAAGTGGTTTTGAGTTTAAAAAACGATTTTCAAAATTAATTAAGCGAACTGCGTGTTTCTGATGCTGATAAAGAGATTTAAGTTTAGTTTTGTGCGCGCTTCCCCATACAATATTTGGATAATTTAAATGGCAGTGGATAAACGAATAATATAGTTGTTTTAATTGTTGTTTATTTAAAATATGTCGAACTTTATATATAATTCCAATAATTTTAGCAACTTTCAAGGAGATATTACCGATTTGTTGTTTCCAGGATATGTTTTCGTCTACAAGAACTCCGAGAAGTTTTGTAACTTTTTCCCTTTTTAGTATTGTATTGTCAGTGAAGAGGTTGGGCATTGTATTTGGTAAACATTTTTTTCTGGATGTTGGGTAAAAAAGTGTCCATATTGTTTTATCAATATTGAGAGACAATTTGTTTTTCTTAAACCAATATGAGATTTTATTTAATTCTTGTGTCATTTTATCAAAAAGTGTATTTATGTTTTCATGAGATTGGAATAGGTTTGTGTCATCAGCAAAAATTATAGTGGTTACGTTAGAGGCTTTGTTGAGGTCATTTATATATATTAAAAATAATAGGGGCCCAACTATGGATCCCTGTGGGACACCACATGTTACACTCATTATTAAAGGCAAAGAAGAGTCTTATATATTAACAAACTGCTTACGATTACTAAGATAGCTTTTGAACCAGCTTAGGGATTTATCTTTAATTCCATAGAGTTCTAATTTTTTTTTAAAGAATGTCGTGATTGACAGTATCAAAAGCTTTAGACAAATCGATGAATACTCCCAGGGTATAATGAGAATTTTTAAAAGAATCAGAAATGCTGCGTGTTAGTTGAAGTATGGCGTGTTCAGTAGAATAGTTTCTCTGAAAGCCGAATTGATTATTATATAAAAGTTTAGTATCAACAAAATAATTGTCTTTGTTATACGTTATTTTTCTAGTATTTTAGAGAAAACCGGAAGAACTGAATTAAGACGATAATTTGTAATGTTACATTGGTCACCTGATTTATAAATAGGATTAATTTTTGCTACTTTTAGAGAGTCTGGAAAGGATCCTTGAGCAATAGAAGCTTTACAAATTTTAGAGAGTATATCTTTCAAAACGTCAAAGGAGTCTATTATAACATTTCTATTGATGCAATCAACCTCAATTGCCTTATTCCGTTTTAATGATTTAAACGCTGCTTCAAATTCGCTGCATGTTAGGTTTGAAAAACTTAAAGTTAAGTTAGGTGATGTTGTAAACTCAATAATTGTCATTAAGATAAGGAATTTTATTTGATAAGCTTGTTTTGATTAAAGAAAAAAAATTATTAAATTCAAAAGCAATTTTATTAGGGTCATTAAATAATTTGTTTTTAATTTTTATTGCATTAGGTAATATTGTACTTTTTTTATTTTTTCCCGTGATCTCTTTCATTAGTTGCCAAATACGCTTTGAATTATGTTTATGCTTTGCAAACAAGCCGGAGTAGTAATTTCTTTTTGCATTTTTGCGGAGTTTTTCGAAATAATTTTTATACATTAAGTATTTATTTTTATAATTGACTGATTTATATTTTAGATATTTAATATACAATTTTTGCTTCACTTTCGATGATTTTTTAAGTCCTTTAGTTATCCAAGGACATTAAAATAATCACTATTTTGTTCCATATTAAAATAATTTTTTATTTTATTTGGATAAAAATTAGAGCATTCAAAATCAGGCGTATTAATTTCGTTAAAATAATTCATATCTGGGTCAGATTTATCGTCTAAGTTAAAATAGTTACTTTGAAAAAATTTAAAGGTTTTTTCAAAGTTATTGTTAATAAATTTAGCCATTTTCGTAGCCAATTATTTCGAGAAAAAAATAAATAAATATGTAGTATATTCTTTTAGGACTTAGTGATTATTTTATTGTAAACCACTTTAGCGTATTTACCTGTGGCACGAATTTCTTTGGCTTCGGCGAAGAGTTGCTTACGAATATTTATAGTTCTTTCGCTGAAATCTTCTTTAATGTAGACATATTCGTTCCAGAGATTCATTTTTTTGTATTTTTCTAAAATAAGTTCACGGTCTTTGAAGTTTAGAAATTTTACCACAATAGTTCTTCTCCTTGTAATACCTTTCCCGTTATCTTTTCTCATTTTCATGTCCAGATATACTTTTTGAGGTATTTTCCCAGTAATACCTTTCCCGTTATCTTTTATTATTTTCATGTCCAGATATACTTTTTAAGGTATTTTCCCAGTCATCAAATCAAGCTATGGAAAAATTAGAATGTGTAATTAAAAATTTGCAGACAAATTAAAAAACGGATCCTGTAGATGTTGGATATAACAGCTATTCTTGGTTGACAAATTCCCTATTGTGTAATTTGCGTCTAAAGCAAAATTTTGATAAGTATCTTTTTTGTCCGCAACTTGACCTTTTTGAATTCTTAAAGCTCCTATCATTGTTCTGGTACATGGATGAGCCATTAGATATTCAAAATGCTTGAGTTTCTTGGGATAACTTAAGCGACAATGTTGGATCAGTTTCTTGATGTGTCTTTGTTTTTGTTATAGTGTAGGAATTAGTTTGATTTGATTCTGGATACTGTTCTGGTTCCTAATATACTTCCTGTTCTGGTTCCTGTTCTTATTCCTGCACTGGTTCCTGTTCTGGTTTCTGTTTTGGTTCCTGTCCTGCTTCTTTTTCCAATTCTAGGTCTGAGTCTAATTCTAATTGAATTACTGGAATATCATTTGGCAATGAAGCACTTTCGTTATTTTTATTCCAGCTGATGAAACTTGTAGATGGACAAAGAAAACCAAACTCCGACATTATAGGGCTTGACTTTATACCAAAAGAAATAACTTCAAAGAATGAAATTTAGAAAATTCTTCTTTTGCTTTAGAGGCTTTTTTCCTTTTCGCATCACCACTTTGATAATTACGGTTAGACATTTTAAGAGCTTTCATTTCAGGTATATTACTTAATCACAGCAGATTCAAATTCGATATGACTAGGGTGACCATTGTCCCGGTTTTTGCGTAAGAGAGCACAGCGCTAAGCTATTAAAAATTAATTAAGTGCGCTCTCCAACGTAAAAACCGGGACAACGGTTACCCTAGATATGACTATTATAATTTAGTGCTTGTATTTACTATGCGCTTACGGATTGCTTATATCAGTATCCAAGCAAATTAAAAGGGTTTCTTTTTAAAAATATTTATGACAAAAAATTCAAGTAAAATTAGAATTCTGTACGTGAACATTTGAAGTCCTAATAACAAATTTGATAAACTTTTTAACTTGTTAAGTAGCTTGTTGGACGAAACAAAAAATCGTTTTAATATAGTTTTTTTATTTAACTGAAACGTGGATTTTGAGTGATTTAGATAAAACTTCGACCTTTTTTATTCTTATTGAAATAAAAAATATTGAAACTATTGAAATAAAAAATAATCAATCAAAAAACATTTTATTTAGCTGTTTTTATCAACCACCTGACGTCGTGAGCGAGAATTTGAGCATTTAAAAAATATATATTTTTTAAAAAAGGTATTAAAAAACAACGAAAAGAACTTCATTATTGGGGACCTAAATATGTAAAATAAAAATTGCTAAAGTTACACAACAAGACACATAAAGACACATTTTGAGAGCTCCTAAAAAATGCAGCCTACCTTGCCTACCCAACGAAAAATTTTTATGTGGGTCATATTTGGCAATTGCATGTTAACCATATATTTACCATCTTTATGGGATGGCTTTGGTGGTTTCCATATGTGGCTATAATGTTTATCCCACTAAAACCACACATAAGAACGAAAGCCACACTTCTTTTTTGCATGAAAGTTTCATTTCAAGAGATTTTTGAGTATAAAACTAATAAACATACCTGTCTGATGTGTGATGTCTGTTGTTTGACTAAAATAAATATTTTCTATGCATAATGTTCCCATTAGAATAGAACATATTATTATTGCTTTCATCCAACTCATTTTTGTTTTTTTTTGTTTTTTTGAATTACTATTATTTTATCTTTATATGTTAAATAAACTGCAATTTATTTTTGCGTAAATCAAAATACATATATTTTTTAACAAAGCAAAATTAAAAAAACATTAAATAATACATTTCTATAAAAGATTATTTTCAAACTCCTATCAAGCATGTAATCCTTAATAAAGAAGAATGAGTCATAACAGTCCCATTTATTAAAATGCCTATTATATTTATTAAAATATTTTTGGAGATTTTTTTTCTAAATTATTATTTTAAACAATGTTAAAATAAACGTATGTATTTTAGCAATTGTTAATCATAATTTATGCATTTTTATAATCATGGATAGGTTATTATTTATATAAATTTCAACTTATTTAAATAATGCTTCAACTTATTTAAATAATTAAATATCATTATTGTTTTGCTAGTGCGCAGGGAGATAAATCGCATGTTAAACCTTACACTTTGCGTCATATGAAGCCTATGCGGAGAAAGTTTTCACGTTTTTTTTTTTTTTCATACGAAGCCAAGCAATTGGCTTAGTACTAGAAATTTTTTACTTTAAGAGTTCTATTTTCCCAATAGAGTACTAAATGTTTCTTAAGAGTTTCTTAAGTTTGTTAACGTATTTGTTACGTTATTTTTTCGTGTTGAATCAAAAGTTTGTTAACGTATTTGTTACGTATTTAAATACTCATTTAAACTGTTGTTCTCCGTTTTAGATAATACTTTTTAACTTCGTTTTTTGTTGATGCGATATATATATATATATATATATATATATATATATATATATATATATATATATATATATATATATATATATATATATATATATATATATATATATATATATATATATATATATATATATATCAGGCGCGGATCCAGCATTTTTTGATGTTTGAGATAACTAACTTCCAGACATGGTACAAACCCCAAAAATTTATATGTTTATACTTATGTCAAATAAAGATGATTTGCAAAAAATTGCGATGATTGGAGTCTGGGAACAAAAAAGCCCCAAAATTTTGGCCACACAAACCCCAAACAAGAGAGCAACAAGTTGATAAAATATTTTTTGTACAATTCTCAAGTAAATTTATATTCATCGATAAATTCTAAATTTCATGCAATAATCTCTTAGTGTTCAAAAATTATAATTGCACAAAGCTTTAACCCCCCTCAATTTGAGGGGGTTACAAATTTTGTAAGGTCATGTTTTTTGAACACTAAGAGATTATTGTATGAAATTTAGAATTTATCGATGAATATAAATTTACTTAAGAATTGTACAAAAAATATTTTATCAACTTGTTGCTCTCTTGTTTGGGGTTTGTTCCCAGACTCCAATCATCGCAATTTTTTGCAAATCATCTTTATTTGACATAAGTATAAACATATAAATTTTTGGGGTTTGTACCATGTCTGGAAGTTAGTTATCTCAAACATCAAAAAATGCTGGATCCGCGCCTGTATATACATATATATATCGCATCAACAATTCATCAATATAAAGTGAGGAATATTTTCAAATTTTTTACCTATATAGGTTAAAAATATGAAAATATTACTCAATTTCTTAACAAAATAAGTTTCTTACTGAAAAATAATTTAGAAGTTTCTTAAGATATTTGACGCTAGTATCTAGTATTAGTTTCTTATAAACAAGTTTTAAATTAAAAAAAAAAAATGTGCATAACACATGGAACTTTGACACGCAAAGCACTCAGAAACAAAACACAAAACCGTGAAAATGTTTATAAACCAGAAAAAATTAAAGAACTTGAAAATATTATATAAGTTTTCCCCCTTTTTGTACATAGTTATGTAATATTTTTTGTGTGAAATTATTCTCAAAAATAATGGTCAGACTGTTAAATGTAAAAACTATTTCACAACCTTATGAATCAACCTCTTGACTGCATTTCTTAGGTTTATATGTGCATTAGTTGCGTTTCTGTCGTTATTCCAACAGTTGCATTGCATACTAATCTTTTTTTGTAGCTAAAAATTTTAATTTTTTTTATGGAGTTCAATGTAACACATGATTTTGAGAGGTTTTACTTAGGTGGCTGATTTAAATGATTTTTGAATAAAATTGTTTAACTACTTTTTTGTGGAAACCTTCTTTTGGGGTAAAAAAACATTAACAGATAAGTTGATAAAAACATCTGTTAAGCAGTTTGCTTGAGTGGAAATAAAGTTAATACTAATGTTTGAAATAAATGCTTTATAAACAATCGTAATAATTGTAAAAAGTTTTTTTTTTACATTCTTAATTAGCAATAAAATGGTTTGTGATGAAATTAATGAGCTTAAATTTTTAGTATAACCTACGGTGAGATAATATTTGGTTTAAATATTATTGATATTACAAATGGTCGATCAGTAGTCTTATCTAAAGTCTTCTGTAAACACATTTCTGTCAAGTAGATATAAATTTCACATTTTTTGAACTCTAACTGACAATTTTAAATAGTTGCAGCTTTTTCACAATTTATTACAAATAATCTACCAACCTCTATCTCAGTTACATTACAACCTGAATGGCAATAGAGTTAAGCTGAATGAAGAATACATTGAGCCTTTTAAAAAATGAAACATAAAGTGGTTGAAGTTTATGTGTGCAATGAAATAAAATGATAAAAAAATAACATTTGTCTGGCGAATTTTTTTTAATAGTGCAACCCTCCTTTATTTAGTCTTTTTTAACATTTTTATTTTTTTATTATTTAGTAGCTGAAAAAAATGATCTAAAGATATTAAAGTTAAGTATAAGGGCGTAGATTAAAAGGAGACCTGGGCTAGATTTAACAAAATTTTTAAAACTATATTTATCTCCTAATAATTTGATATTTAAGAAGATTTCAGTGTTATAAAATAGATCTTAATGACGTATTAATCCAACATTGATAAATATAATACAAAACTTAGTTATTCAACATTAGTGAAAAAATGTTGCAGCTTACCCCGCATATGGGCAACTTGCAACAGTGAATGGGGTAAGCTGCGACACAATACTTTGAAAATATAAGTCCTGCAAAGTCTACAGAAAAAATACTAGTTTATCTGTAATTTATATTTGGCAATGAAAATAATTTATAATTACAATAAAGGAAAGTATTATTTTCATTGAGCTGCAATACTTTGGTTATGCGAGATTTCACCTGTACTTGACTTGTTTAGTAACCTGTAATTATCAGTTTACAAAACAAAAAAGACTTCAAAGACAAGAAATTAAATAACAAGGATTATTATACAAACAAATTTATTATTTTAACTCCTAAGTGTTTTCAAAAAAAAAGTATTCCTTTAGTCAATAAACAATAAACTTTTTTAGAAAAATGCAAGAGAAGTTTTTAGGATATTTAAGTTCTGTTTTTAGGATATAAAAACAAATAACATTTTATTTAAAAGAAAAAAAATTAAAATTAAAACAAATGTAAAACAAAATTTTATTAAAAAAAAAAAGGAGTTTCCTAACAACATAACAAATAATAAAGAAACTAAAGAATTAATTACGTTTCAGTTCCAAAGGGAGCCAGTGTCTTTTAAGTAATATATGGTAATTGCTAGTTTTTTTATGTAAATAAAAAATGATAATTTGGACAGTTAAGTTTAGCACTTACAACAGTATCAATAATAGAAGCAAGCTCAAATAAACAATCTTTTGTCATTCGGAGATTTTTTTTCCAGCATATTTTAGGGACTTCTGGGCCTATAATATTTTGCCACTATAAATCAGTTCTTCCTTTTTCCACCCATAAACTACTAGGTTTTCTGTTTATAAGTCCTTACCTTACAAATATTTTCTTACATTGCAAGTGTTTTTTCGTGTGCGTAGATACACAGCAAGTGCTAAATTTTATTTGGTTTCTAATAATTTGTATGCAATTAATATACCATAAAATTGCAATATAAGTGGTGTAAGTAACTGCACTGTCAAATCATGAACAACACTAATTGTAAATTAATTACATATTGGCCCACTCCTTTTATTGATATTCATAAACGATTTACCAAGCAGACTTCTTAATAAATGTATGCTGATGACAATAAAATAATCGCTCCTATTTATACCGAGGTTGATTCAAAATCATTTCAAAATGACATAAAAAAACTTGAAGATTGGTCTGTTGAATGGAAACTGGGTTTGAATTTTGAGAAATGTAAAATAATGCACTTTGGTACAAGTAATAAAAGATATTCTTATTTCATGAAAAATGATAGCGAAATAAAAGAAATTGAAAAATCTACTCTTGAAAAAGATTTAGGTATTTATATATCCAAGGATTTGAAATGAGAAAGACAAGTAAGGAATGCCAGTAAAACAAACAATATGCTTACAATATTAAATAACACTTTTAGATATAAAAAAAAGTACCTCATGAAAATGCTTCATTGTACGTATGTTAGACCTCATTTAGAGTTTGCGATTTAAGCTTGGAATCCCTATTATAAAAAAGATATCAAAGAACTTGAAAAAGTACAAAGAAGAGCAACTAAATTGATACCAGAGTTAAGACATCTGAGATATAATCAAAGACTAAAAATATTAGATTTAACAACTTTAGAAGTTCAAAGACCTTATACAACAATATAAATTATGTAAAGGCTTTGAATCTATTGATATGAAGAAATTCCAGATACAAATGCATTCAATCAATACACCTGGTCCAGCATCCAATATTAGAGGTTATAAACATCGTGTTAAATCAGAATTTGTTAAAAATTGTTTAAGTAGACAACACTTCTTTACAAACAGGGTTGTCTTTGGATGGAATAATTTACCGGAATCGGTCGTGAAGTCTACATCAGTCAAAGAGTTTAAATCCAGACTTAAGCTGATTGACTTGCAGATAATACTGAACAAGAAAAACAAGTTGCAGTTAAATTTTTAGACAACTATTGTGTTGGGTGTCATTGATATTGCCTGGCGCTCTATCTCAACAGCATTTGAATTATTTTTATTATTATTAATATGGGCACCTAGGTAACATGAGCATACCAAAAGATTTCTAAGATGTCAATAGTGAAGTTCAAGTTGCTTTGTATTTTTTGAATCGACTTTATGTGGTGGTCATAGAAAGCAGTATAATTAGCGTAAATTTATGTGGCGTGAAATTTTGATGTTGATTATGAAATAGAGATATTTATTTTTTCATAAAGAAAAGTATATAAGCTAGAAATTCGTTCCATTTTTGTATTAAAAAAAAGTGCATAAAAACATCAATTTTTGACATTTGAAGATACAATTTTTGTTAATACGAGCATGCTCAAATTACCCAGTGTTTATCATTGAAATCACCTATTTCAAAGTCCTAAAAATGCATTGATTTTAATTAGGGAAAGTGGGGGCATAACCGCCCCCGTAACGTTTGAATCAATGTTATATGAAAATAAAAACGAAATGTGTTTTTTTAACAGTTTATTTCAATAATCACATTAATAAGCTTTAAATTGCAACAATTAAGAAAAAAATAAAATGGTTTTTGAAAATGCTATTACACAAAAATTACATTTAGTAAAAAAACTGTTGTGCCCCCATTGTGAGGCACAATCACACCCTCTCAAAAATTGTTAGAGGTAAACTTTCTGCGGTACATTTTCTTTACAATTGTCACAGCTCAATCTATCTGCTGCACGTTTGCACTGTAAAAAAATCATCGTCATACATAAATATAATAAGATAACAATTTATACTCTTAGCTGTATGATTTAACCAGAAAACAGTTTTTAGAAAGTATACAGTTTAATCGCTAGTTTATTAGGTTATGTTGATATCAAATATGGTTTTTACTTGATAAAATAACGCTGATAACACATATCTTTAATTCTAAAATTAAATATTGCTCAATCCACAAAAAAAAAAAAGCTCTGAAAAAGAATGATGTAAATATAATATTTTTACAAAGTAAGTAATATTATGGACAACTTCTCAGAAACGCAACAGGACATAAACAAAATGAGGATAGCTGTTTTACTAAGACAAGGTATGTTTGTTGCCATATTATGTAATATTCTTTATAAGAAAATAATAAAAAACGGTTGTTCCTCCATACGCGCTTATGCCTCCACTAAATATTTTTAATATTTCAACAATACTTTCCGTAATTTAAATTTAAAAAACTTGTATTTTTATCGTTTAAAAATTTGAATTAATAAAATTTAAAAAATTAACGTTTTTTTTTTTTTTTTTTTTTTTTTTTTGCGTTAAACATAGTTGCATTGTTTCTATTAAAGGTGGCCTAAATTTTGTTCTTTTAATGATAGACTTTGTTAATAACGAATTGTTATATTCCACAAATTAGTTTTAATAGTCATGTTTGTATTTCTTTACTTAGTTAATGTTATTTTTTTGAGGTAATTTGAAGTGATCATATTACCGTGTGGTCTTGGTAATATGAGTACTTTCGCTACTTTTTTAAAACCTCTGTGATATCTAAGTGGATAATGAATAGTGATCTCTAAAAATTGTTTATTTGCAAAAATTTTGTATCCATAAATGTTTTTGAAATTATTCAAATTTTCAAATTTTCGTTTAAGTTGCTCGTAATACCCTAATCTACCCTACCCTAAGTATACAGTAAAAACAGAAAAAAAATTGAAAACAAAAATAAGAATTTTATATATAAAAGAGTTTTTTTTAATAATTTTTGAAATCTTTTATTTATTACTATAACTTATTTATAGCTGACGTGTTAAAATTATTGTTGTATAATGTAAAGAAAGTTTTGAAATAGTATATAAAAACCTTTCTTCAAAACGCATTGTTGAAACTTAGGGGTCGTCCATAAAGTACGTACGATTTATTTTCGTCCACCCCCACCCCCCTCGCATTTTGCTATACGCTTTTTTAGTATCCTCCACCTCCCTAAAAGTACCTAAGCTTTTAACCTATTTATCTAACATTTTATGATTTTTTTTAATTTAGTGTCTCTTTTCTTTTATAATTGATCCACTGCCCTCCGATCTCGTATACGCCAATTACAGACCCCCTTCTTCCCTCACGCATACGTACTTTATGGACGATCCCTTACCTCTGTTGCAACTAGCCCCGGTCTCCCCAACGCTAAGTTTTTTTTTTTAATTTTGATTTGTAGGTGCTTCAAGAAGGCCTTACGATCTTGTCACAGAGCATCATGGATGAGCATTTAACTTGGAACTTCACGCCTCCTTCCTTACCGATAACGTTAAATATGCCTAAAGCTTCCATCGAATCTTGGATCTCCTGCTTTTAAAGCACTCTAACCACTGTGCCATGGCTGTTTATTATATTTCAAGATAAAAAAATTTGGTGATTTTATTAAAGAGATTTAATCATTTTATTTATGTCACATATTTTGTCTATGTGTTACTTTATTTCATAAAATATTTAGCCAGAAAGTTCACGCCTCCTTCATTATCAATAACGCTTATTGGGTCTCTTAGTTCTGATCCAGAACTTTAACCACTGAGCCACGGCTGCTTTTAAGTTTCTGCCGAAGAATGAGTAAAGCTGATCAATATCTCAAAAAAAAAAAAAAAAAAATAATAATAATAATAATAAAACTTAATACTGAAGAAGCACTTGTCCAAGTTGCTATGAGTTCCCAAAAATGTCCTTAAAATGTTTATATAAAGAAGCCAAAACTCTACAATAAATTAATAAAAACATTGATAATGAAAAAAATAAATAACATTTTTACCAAAATTTTATTAAAAATGCTAAAAAAAAAAATACTGAATTAATCAAATTATTAAATTCAAACTTGATGCAAAATCTGCTAGTAATACAATTAATGCTAATTTTGAATATTGAGGTAAAACTTTAATGAGCCCTAACTAATAGTTATAATTAATATGGCTTAAATTAAAATCATCATATATGATAAGTGCTTCTTTAGTATTAAGTTTTTTTATTATTATTTTATTTTGAGATATTGATCAGCTTTACTCATTCTTCTGCAGAAACTTAAAAGCAGCCGTGGCCCAGTGGTTAAAGTTCTGGATCAGAACCAAGAGACCCAATAAGCGTTATTGATAATGAAATAATAAAAAGAAAAAGAAAAAAAAAATGAAAAAAAAAATATATATAAAAATAATAATAAATGAAATAAAATAAAAATAATAAATTATGTATAAATGTGTATGTGTATCTGTGTATGTATGTATTTATGTATGTATGCTGGTATATATATATATATGGGTGTATATGAGCTGTTAGTATGGGTGTGTATGTGCTTGTAGTCTATGTATATTCTAAAAAAAAAAAGAAGAATAGTGCTGCATAACCTCTGGCGTAGAAACACCTAAATAAAACTGCTCGGCAATCATTGGACTGCTTGGCAATCGTTATCGATTAAAAAAGGATTCGGTTATACCACCTATGATCGCTTATATGGTAAAGATGCTAACACGATATATACTTTAAAAAAAAAAAAATTACATTAGAACAAGAGCTAATTATCAACAAGAATGTCCACCCCAACCTGATTTTATTTTCTACAATTTTAATCACCATCAAATTTTAATCATCACCAATACACCATGACGTCATCAAACACATCAATAGTTATACTGAAGTATATTAATTATTTTTAACTATTCTTTGCAACGGTTTTTATAATTATTTACCAAAACAAATCCAATTCAAAAGCGAATAAACATTTACAAAAATCAATAAAAATGAATTTATTTAAAGCGTTTTGATTCCAGCGGTTCTCTACGACAAGACCTTAAGGACTTCTTCGAGTTTCCGCATTCTTTATTCCTAATTTTTATTTAATTCTCTATTGTTATCGAAATCTTTATTTTAAATATTATTTATTTCTTTTTTATGTCTTACGTTTTATTCACATAAAGTTGTAATAGAGATTGTAATAATGATTGTAATAAAGAATTCAAAAAAACAAAAAAAACAATTGAAAAGAACCCTGCAATTTCTATAACAAAATTTAAAATGCAACTTTAGAATAATTCAGTTAATTTTTTTTGGTCTGATACATTTCATTATGTGACTCATTAAAACTCAACTAGTATCCTTCTAATAAAAAAGTCTTCATGGCTGATCCATCCTTGTTTTACCAAGTTATGGATAACTTTACTTTTTTTGTTATTTAATACTCTAATATGATATTTTTGACATCTTGACATCACCCAAATCTTGCGAGCAAGTCATACTTGGTAGAGATTTCTTCCGATTGCAGCAAAGTCTTTATATTAATTATGATGTTAAGAAGAGTGCTTTAAAAATCTGTTACTTGTTAATTGTTACTTGCATGCACTTTTTTCTTCATCTTTCATGCTTGACAAATGATAAGTGGAATAAATAGGAATGACAAAATATTAGGGTGGAGCATAGAACTTTCTTCATATAGCTTCGACAGTTTATCGTTTTGGAAGTAACAACTTTTTTTGTTTGCTGAATTGAAGCCTAAATATTATGTAAGCAATTGAAATCAACCTCAAATAAAATCTACTCAAAAGACCTGTTCAAAGTACCAATACCATCATTATCTGCCAATAAATTTTCTTAAAAATTTTAAGATTATTTTTTGTACTCCCTTGTCGTGGTAACTCGACCTCATTGTATATAGTAATACAAGTAAAAACTAAAAATTATTTTAAAATTAAATGTTGATGAATAATTAAAGAATATGAAATATTTGTTGCTAGTAATAATGATTGCACTATAATCCTAAAAGATTTCACTTTAGTCCTAAATGAGATAAATGAAATTACTCTTATCCTAACACAGCCAACATGTTCATCTGGGGCCAAGGTTGGCCCAGTATTTGACGGACCCCACATATGTATCCCATTTGGAGTCCATCTAATGGTTGGCCGCGGGAGCCACATGAGGTCACTATAAGCTAGCTTGTAAATTAAATACAAACCACCCTATAATTTGTATCATAAATATTATTCGCTATTTAATGGGTTAAAAACGCAGTTGTGTACCAGTACTTAGCTAAATAAAGTGATTAATGTGTTTTACCTATTGTCAAAATAAGTTTGTCAGCTAATTTATTTTTGTATGGACATTTATTTTGTTGTTGTTTATTAATAAATGATTTGCTCGACTAACTGAATCGACTGTTCGGATAGTTTTCAGATTTCAGATAGTATATTTTTTAGTATATTAAGTTCAGATAGTATATTTTTTAGTATATTAAGTTCAGATAATATTTTCATACTCCCTACACTGTTTGGTGAACAGTATAAAAAAAAAATGTAATAAAAAAACAAACAATTCATAGAATTATAATATATTATATATTTCATATTATTCATCAATATATGTCCGAAGATATTAATCCGTGAAACCTTGTCTTTTTAAAGACTTTAGCATGTTTGGCTCAATCTGGTAACACAGTAAGCCGAGCCCGTCACATTCGACTCTGACGTGCATTCCTCGTTACAGTTTCTGCAAACAAAATAATACAAATTTGAATAACTCATAGAAGAAAGTAATTTTAAAAAACTTAGCTAATTATTAGTTAAAAGTTTTTTTGGAGTTATATTTACTTTGGTTCATATGTATTTGTATTTAATGTCATTACAGCACTACTACGACCAGTAACCTTTACAAGAATACAACCTCCTTAATCAAGTAGTATCCAACCTATTAAAAATAATAATTTTAATATTTAAAGAAAAAAATTTAAAAAGTTGGAATGGTTTCCTAAGTACTTATTATTAACACATAATAAACTGCATAAATTATATAGCTTATTCTGTGTTCTGGGAAGTAAAAATGAGGGATTCTGATATCTTTAAAACATGGGTATGCTGAATGTTAATAAGCATATATTATATAATACATTATACAGGGTGACAACCATAAGGTGAAACACATTTTCGAACCCCAATCATTCATTAACCCCGTACCATATGACTTTCCCCTTGTTTACAGTTTGTTTTGACATTTGTTTAAAAAAAGTTTTAAAAATTTGAGGAAGAAAAAATGAGGGATTGTATGAAAAATACAGATCTAAATCCTATCAGGGAGCTGATAACATCATTACACAAAAAAAAATTTAAGTCAAGCTGATATTTGGAGACGCCTAAATGATATAAAAGTCAGCAAATCATTGATTAGTCGAACAATTTCTCGTTACAAAACTACTGGGCAAACAATTCCAGCTAAAACTAGAAAAAGAAAGCGCGTCAAGCGCACTCCAGCAATCATCAAAGTGGTAAGAGAACGTTTACGAAGAAATCCTGCTCGCTCAGGTCGGCAGCTAGCTAAAGAGCTGAACATGTCATATACCTCTATGCAAAAGATTATAAAACAAGATTTAAGACTTAAGTGCTACCGTAAACAAAAAATTGCCGGCCTCACTGACAAAAACAAGGTGGAAAGAGTTGCAAATTGCTATTGAAGCGGCACGGTGATGCAGATATTGTTTTTTCGGACGAGAAAATGTTTACTTTGGAGCGCCCGTTGAACAGACAAAATGACAGAGTTTATGCTGTAAAGCTCTCTGATGTTCCTTTAAACGTTAGAACTGCCCCTCTTATCAGAACGCTTCGGCGGTCATGGTATTCGGGGCCATCTCGAAAAAGGGGAAATTTCCTCTGAAATTTATCGATAGAGGGGTGAAAATCAACAAAGAATACTACTTACAGAATGTGATCAAAGATTTGATTGAACCTAAGGCTAAAGAAATGTATGGTGATTATCCATGGGTGTTCCAGCAAGATTCTGCCCCTGCACACAAGGCTATTGTTGTTCAAGATTACGGCAAGCAAAATTTCCCAGATTTTATCGATACCAAAGAATGGCTTGCTTCGAGTCCTGACCTCAATCCTCTTGATTTCTTTGTCTGGGGATACATGCTACAAGAACTGGGGAAGCATAAATTAACAACTTTGGACCAATTCAAGGAACTTTTGATCGACATTTGGGACAAAATGCCACAAGAAACTGTGCGTGCTGCGTGTGAAAACTTTTTCAAGAGATGTCGAGCCTGTATAAAAGCAGAGGGCGACAGGTTCGAATTAAACCAATAAAACTTGTTAAATACACTTGTAGCTTTCTATTAATACCACTTTCGAATAAATATAACTCTTAAATTTGAAAATATAGCTTACTTTATGTGTTTCACCTTATGGTTATCACCCTGTATAGAATATTATACAATGATGCCTATTAACATTTAACAAAAATGTCAAAATCTCTCAGCTTTACTTTAAACTCTTCCACTGTTCTTTAACTCTTTATAGGTTGCAACAAACTTGCAACACTATTTAGAATTGCACTATAACTTTTTTGTGTCATTTTTATCTCCTGTTGACACTTAATAATTTCTTTTAGTATTGATATTTTAGGATATTTTGCAGCTTTTTGAATAAACAAAGTGCTTTTAATAAAGAAACAAAACTAATACAAAAATAATTCACAGTAAAATTAAATTAAACACAAATGGTGTAAAGCTTTGTGATAAATAGATACATAGTTTTTTATGTATCTATACCAAATTCCAAGTAAAAAATTTACATACCTATATTGCAGTCAGTAGATAAAGTAGGTGATAACCATTCTGAAAGAAAAAAACATTACATTAGAAAATAATTAAAACAATTAAAAACATTTCAACAAAATGTAATTGAACAATAAAATAAATGTACCTTATATATCATAGAGTAATTTCACGTGTATTATAAATAATGCATTATACAATATAATGTATTAAAAAACTGTATAACCCATAAAAAAGACTGACTCTAAATGGATATACATCTAGCTTTTTGGATTCTACTTTAAGTTAATGCAGGAATTAGAGAAACTTTTCTGAAACACAAGACATTTATGGCGTGTTTTTTGTTTCAGTTATCCAAAAGTATAGAGTGTATACATATAAAAAACATAATAGTAATTGAGAATTTTTTTTCAGCATTTTACATATTTATACACGAGTTCAAAATTAATTACTAAAGATTTATTATAAAGATATATCTCTTTCTTTTTAGCATACCTGTTGCGTTTATGTATGCGTTTGTATTTTCAGTAGCATTTAAATCAGATGAGTTTTCTGAAAACTTTAAGTTTTTCTCTTGCTCTTTGGAAGTTGCTAAGGTATACAATAAAATATTTATATTACAAGTTAAAATATTACTATTACATACTTTTCCTTTAGTCCAAACACTAATTTTTTTCCATGCAGAATTAGGTTTAGCTTGTTGGCTGATTAGTAGAACCATTTCACAAAGTAAATGTAAATATTTTTTATATGTTATAAAAAAAAGTAAAAAGATTTTTTTTTTAGGTTGATATTTTTTATGTTATTAACGTTACACTTATACATTAGGGTACATTGAAATATCAAGTGAAAAAAAAACTCAAATTCGTATATATAGCAATAAAAAAAGTTGCCTTTTTGAAATCATCGAATTCCAAACAATAAAAAAAATTAAAAATAATGCTCTTCAGGTGTGTGTGTGTGTCCGTATATATATATTTTAAGAGCTTTATAACTATTTTTATTTTTAACTATAAGCAATGCTAATAGCTAATTGTGTCAAAAAAAAAAAATATTTTTGACCACCAGAAGACCATAAATTATTTTTAGGGACACTAAAAAATTATTTAAACTAAAGACTTTAGTTAAAGATTTCAAAATTATATCACAATTATACACTACTTTAGTAAATTGCTAAAGTAGTATAAAACTGTGATATATTTTCGGAATTTTTTTTTTATATATGTTTAAAATATATATATATATATATATATATTTTTATTTTAATTCACCTCCTCAAGGCCGAGAAGGCCACTACAGACGAGGAGGCTAATTATTTGTGGCTATAACCCTCTCTCAACTCTATAACTCCGAAACACGAAATATATATATATATATTTTTTTATTTTACTTCACCTCCTCAAGGCCGAGAAGGCCACTACAAACGAGGAGGCTACTTATTTTGTGGCTATAACCCTCTCTCAACTCTATAACTCCGAAACACGAACCTTGACGAACAAGGCCGCTGCGCGGAGAAACGAGTTGAGCGCGGTACTACCAGGGACGTGGTGGGGATCGAACTCGGAACCACTCGTTTATGAAGCGAGCGCTCTACCACTACACCACTACCGCATTATATATATATATATATATAATATATATATATATATATATATATATATATATATATATATATATATATATATATATATATATATATATATATATATATATATATATATATATATATATATATATATATATATATATATATATATATATATATATATATATTAAACATCTTTGCTTCCAACAAGGCTGCAAGCAACCACTAATTAAAGTTGGAAGTTAATGGATGAGAATAGATGAAGATTGTAGAGCAAAATAACGATTGATAGACGACTTAAAAGATTGCAAATTATATGAATCAGGAAAGCAAGATAAAGGAAACAAATTCCAAAGATTTGATGTTCGAGGAAAAAAACTAGAGGAATAGGAGTTTTTAGAGCACTTAGGAACAGTTACAGAAAAAGGAGGCTGATGCTATTCGCACGGCCGCCGTGTTCCAATTCTAAAAAGGCTATTCGCACGGCTGCAAAACCAAATCTTTCAATCAATTTTTGAGTCACTTCCTAATGATAGATTTTCTTCAAATTTTGCATAGATACTCTTGCTTGATGACAATACAATATTCAATAATTAGTTGTGCAATAAGTTATTTAATTTAGTTAATTTTAATTAAATTTTTTTTTTTAATATGGAAATAAGAATTTAAAATTTATAAATAATTATACTAATTGTTTAAACACTAATACGCGCGGTTAGCTTATTTTGGAAAAAGTCGTTGACTTCGTAAACTAAAGGTTACAGGTTCGAATCTTGTCTCTTCCTAAACAATTTTTGTTTTTTTACACACGCATACAGCCAAATGTTAATAAAATAAAATAGTATTATCAAAAAAAACTTATTGCAAAATTTGTGGTTTTAAAACATATAAAAGCACTGGGTTTTAATAATTAGTTTTTAATTTTACTTGTTCTTTTCGCGTAATTTTTTTTAGAATGGCAAAGAATTCTATGTAATTACCAAACCTGTCATTTTCTTTCAGATCTTCCTTTTCAGTTTTTAATTTGTTTTACCTATTAATTAATTCTAAAGTTACGGTGGAGTCCCGTTTCGTGCAAACACCTTTTCTTAACTGTTTATCTGGCAGCCGTGCCAATAGTCTTTTTTAGAAGTTGTACACGGCCGCCGTGCCAATAGACACTATCGAAAAAGGATGAGACTTAATAGAATAAGGAATAACACGAGAATAAATTTTAGCAGATGGCACAAGAGACGCTAGTTCTTTAGAGCAGTGCCCATTTATAGCATTTATAGAAAAGAAAAACAGAAGCAACATTACGACGATATGATAGTGGTTAAAGTTTGGCTGCAAGAGCAGGTCCAACTATGTTTACAATGCGTTTTTGGACCCTGTCTAAAAGAGAAAGGGTGTCATTAGAAGATCCGCCCGAGATATGGCAACAGTATTCCATACAAAGACGGACTTGATATTTATAGAGATAGAGAATAGAATCCAGAGTAAGAAAGTATCGAGCTCGATAAAGAGATGCAACCTTAGCAGATGAATTTAGTTATTATATACTGATTTAGTATCCCATTTAGAAAAATCCAGCAAAAAGGTTTTAATTTATCCAAGCCGGTTCATATTTATATCTAAATATTACAATATATTTCAATACTACAAATAAAAGGAAACAACATAACTCTTACTTTATAAATTAAAAAAATTTAACACAACTCTAATACAAGTTAAAGCAATGCTTGAAATGCTGAAATGCAAATATTAACATTAAATTATGCAACCCGATATTCCTTCTTAATATTAAATGCTGGCATTACTTGTTGACTCTCTTATCTTGATTTGATAAATCTGTTTCTCAATTTATGACCACAAACTGCTGCCGATACTTCAGTAACAACTTTAATGCAATGTTCAATAGCTTGAATGTGATATGAAAACCTAGGATAATCAATAAATGTTGATTTACCAGTAATGATTATCTCTTTAGTAACTGCATCAGAAAGGTCAAACAAAGATGGAGGTTCTGTGATTTTAGTGTTTTGCCAATCAATGTAATCAAAACTGTCGTAGTTTAGTTCAGGAACACTAAATTGTCTAATTCTGGTAATTAGCTGTGACCTTGCTTTTAAAATTCTAAACTTAACTCACGAACATGTCTTTGCTCATCCACAATTATTGAAAAAAGAATGTTTTCATGGTGAACAAAATAGCCATTTTGTTTTATGACAGGATTGATGTCTTTTAGCTCAGAAGACAGATAACACAATAGATTAATTGTTTTCCACAGGTACCTAACTCCATGTTATACAAGAAGACTTAGTCTTAATGTAAAACTAAATTGGAACATAAACAGGAACAATATAGGTAGACAAAGTTGTTACAACTAAGAACTTTGTCTACCTATATTGTTAAGGTATAAGGTATACCTATATTCTATAGTAGACACGCACAAAGCACACAGTTTGCTGTTGTTAGCCATCTTAAATGATTTAGAGCCCCTGGGAGTCGTTATGCCAATATTGAAGAACATTTACCAAGAGAGAGAACACTTGTGATTTCTCATAAATATTTTTGATCTGCCCTGAGGCTTTTTAATTCTACCGTAGGCATATCAATGTGCATTTTTACAAAACGAATTACACTCAATTGTTGACATGTTGATAATGCTGTACAGAAAATGGGTCCAAAAAATCCACAAGGACCGGTTGTGGGACCATCAAGATATTGGAGTAAATAACGTAATGACAATTTGTTGCTATGAAGCTGCCACTGTAATGGTCTTCCTACTTCTTTCTCTAACAATCTGTTAACAGCATTGGATTGTCTAGTGTTGACCTTTGTGCCATCACATCCAATTGCCATTAGTTTACGTAACAAAATTTTATTTGCACCGAAGTAATCTATAATACTTCATCTGATTTCATCTGTCATACATTGCTGTCCCATTAGACAGCAATGTATGACAGATGTACAAAGAACCAGGCTTTTTTAATAACAATATGTGTTCTGCGGTAATAGTTTGACTGTAATATTTTCAAATTAAGCTTAAGATCTGGATTAAATGAAAGACTGGATTAAATGAATTTAATCCAGTCTTTCGTGAGAGCAAATTTTTTTTTTTAGATTGAAAAGTCTACCTTTGTAGCACGGGTCAAGCATGTGAGCAATCGAATATGGGGAATCTTCCATACCATTTTGGATAGTATTTCTTGATATTTTCATTAACATTAAACTGCCTGATGTACTCCTCATTTTTTTTGTCATAAAGTTGAATTGCAACATAGATATGAAGATTGTAAATTCCTGGGATAATCAGGTGAACTGTAGTAATTTTGTCAGCAGAAATTTTGACTGAAAAGCCATAAAATTTTTTAAGAACTGGTAAGATTTCTTTTAATACTTTGAAATGGGTATTGTTTGGGACTTTATCCTCAATTGTGTGTCCTTCTCCCACTAAGACCTTTAACACTTCTATGATATCTAGAACTGACTTAACACACATAAACTGACTGTTCCATCTTGTCTTGCATGGTAAGATGACATTTTTGAAGTTAAATTTTAGGTCAGCACAAGTCTTTTTCACTTTGGTACACAATAGAGTACTTCGATGGAGGTGAGCTGCTAAGTCACAATATTTTTTGACAGCTTTTTTGATAATATCAATTTTGTCAACGCTCTTTGTGACAATTAAGTGCAAAGTGTGATCAACACAGTGAATCTCTGGTTGCAATTCTAAGCTTTTTTCAACAGCTAAGATGACATTTGAACCTCTGTCATTGACGCACCACCTGTGTGTTTGCTACTTGGGAAGAAGATTGAGACCTTCAATTAGGGTATCAAGCTGGATTGCAATTGCTTGCCCAGTGTGCTATTCTTCTCCTTGGCTCCATTCCAACAAGACTCCATTTCACAGTGGGCCAATAGGTGGACAAAACTATAACAATCAGTGTTTGAAAGCTTAAATTTTTTTTATAAAATTTTGAATTAGATAAATTGGGGACCTTGAAAGTATTTGATATTAAAA